GGTTAGGGTGGGTTAGCCATGGGAAATTACCCATAGTGCCCAGGGATATGCAGGCTTAGGTGGGTTAGCCATGGGAGATGCAGGGCTATGGGGGGGGCAGTGGGTCTGGATGGGATGCTCTTTGGAGGGTCAGTGCGTACGCGATGGGCCGAATGGCCTCTTTGCGTGCAACAAGCGTTCTACGATTCCCAGAGAACACAGCAGAGGAGCAAATAATTGAGGGGCCGTTTAGAGAGGTAGCACAGATGCAACGGGGCTGAACGGCCTGTTTGTTTTACGACTCTGCAGTTATGTCAGTTACTCTCGCGCTCACTGTCTCAGGTGATGCTTTGTCCCTGGGCATTCGACAGGATCCTACATCCTCCAGCATCCATCTCCACTCCGTCGACAAGGTCAACTGGTTAGTGGGTGGTGGGGTGGGGTGGGGTGGGGTGGGGGTGAAGGGAGGGAAAGGGATGTGGTGGATGCTACACCCATCCAGGCTGGGTGCACCTATGATGAAACCTCTGATGGGTGTTGAACTTGCCCAACAAGACCACATCTTGACAACATTGATGTCTCCACCTCCCCAGCCATACCCCACACAGCCTGTCAGTTTCAATGCACCAGGCCAAGGCTGTACCTTCTATCTCTTTCACAAGGAACGACACAGAATCTCCTTCGCTCTTCCACCCATCGAGTCTGCACCAACCTTCTGAACAGCAACCCAACCAGACCCACCTCTATTCCCATAACCCCGCATTCCCCATGGCTAACCCACCCTAACCCACACATCCCTGGGCACTATGGGTAATTTCCCATGACTAACCCACCCTAACCCGCACATCACTGGGCACTATGGGTAATTTCCCACGGCTAACCCACCCTAACCCGCACATCACTGGGCACTATGGGTAATTTCCCACGGCTAACCCACCCTAACCCGCACATCACTGGGCACTATGGGTAATTTCCCACGGCTAACCCACCCTAACCCCCACATCCCTGGGCACTATGGGTAATTTCCCATGGCTAACCCACCCTAACCTGCACATCTTTGGGCTGTGGGAGGAATCCAGGGCACCCAGAGGAAACCCACGCAGACATGGGGAGAATGTGCAAAGTCCACACAGACAGTTGCCAGAGGGTGGGATCAAACCCGGGTCCCTGGTGCCGTGAGACAGCAGCGCTAACCACTGGTCCTGCAGACTCTGGCGGACGAGGACAGAGCGACCCCCCACCCCCCCCGAGGGCATTAACGTGCCGCTGGCGGCACCTGGGCTGAAATGCCTGGCTCCGAAACGTACCTGCACACCCGCCAGCACCTCCATATTGACTGAAGACTCCTTGGCAGCCAGCACTAGGATGGAATGAATCCCACCATGTACGGTTTTCTGCGGAAGGGGTCGGTGGGGGGCGGGGGCAGAAAGCGGAGAATGGTGAGACAGAAATGTCTGGACTGTAACACCGCAGCCGATTTAACGACGGGTCGGATGATAAGTGTAAAGATGGCGCCCAGAACGGAACATGATACTTCAAATGTGGTCTGACCAACGATTTGAGGAGGTTTAACATCAGTTCCTTGCTGTTACACTCTATGCCTTTATTTATAAATGCATGGATCCTATAAAGCTCCTTAACAAGTGTTTCAACTTGCCTGGCCAACTTCAGAGAATTACGCGTTTGAACTGTGAGGACATTCAGTGCCTGTGTTCCCCCCTCAAAGTCATACCATTTAACCCTGCATTGTCTCTCTACGCTTCTTCCACTAAAATGCATTACCTCACATTACCCTGCATTGAAATTCATCTGTCATATGTCTGCCTGTTTGACCAACTTGTCAATATCTCTCTGAAGTCGCTCAGCGTCATCCTTGCAATTCACAGTTCTCCCTAGCTTAGCATCATCCGGCGATGGCCTAGTGGCATTATCACTGGACTGTTGATCCAGAAACCTGGGTAATGTTCTGGGGACACAGGTTCGAATCTTGCCACAGCAGGTGGTGGAATTTGAATTCAATAAAATATCTGGAATTAACAATCTAATGATGACCATGAATCGATTGTCAGGAAAAACCCATCTGGTTCACTAACACCCTTAAGGGAAGGAAACTGCCTGGCCTACATGTGACTCCAGACCCCACAGCAATGTGGCTGACTCTTAACTGCTGCCCCAGCCAGCGATGCCCTCATTCCATGAATGAATTTATTTAGAGATTTTTGCCCTCAGCATCCATCTCCAAATCGCTTATATCAATCAGAAACACAGCAACACAGTGCCAACACCGATCCCTGGGGAACACTACTTTCAACTCATCTCCAATCTGGGAAGTGCCCACCTATACCTGTTTCCAATCCTTTAGCCGGCTTCTAATGCACGCTGCCAGGGACCCATCAATCCCACACGTTCCTGGTTTACTAACCAGCCTGGCATGTGGGACTGTAACAAATCCTTTGTGACACTCCGAACTTCCTTCCCTGAAAGGGACATCGGCGAATCAGATCAGGTTTTTACAACATGGCAACAGTTCTATGGTCACCTTACGTCACAAGTAAGGGTTAAATCTGAAGTGGACAGAGCGAATCTCTCCATTTCTCTGTATTTTTGACTGGGGACTGAAAAGGGAAGTGGCCTGTTTGGAAGGCAAGGTTTACACAAGGAACTGCTGTGCTGTTTAAAAGGGGTTGGGGGGGGGGGATCCTGCCACCCGTTGTATGTCACGTTTATTCAAGGAGGTGGGGAAAGAGGTTTGTAGACGGGCTGGCACCAGCCAGAAACAAGTGGCTGATTGGTCTGTAGATGACCGATGACAGCAACTGTCCGATTGGCTCTTGAGCAGCTAAGCAGCTTGTGGGCGCGAACAATACTGGCAGAAGCCTTCGGACTTCTGGAAGAGTAGATGATGTGCCCACGCCCTGTGCCGTGCAATGTGGCCTCTTTGTAAAGAGGAAGAAATCAAAACCGAACAACACCGAACACCTCTTGAGCCAAGGAAATTCTGCTCGGTTGAGCCGCAGCATGGTGTAAATGCCGAGTGCAGCTATGTGTGGAAAGCATCCGGAGACCACAGCCAGAAAGGTTCCCTCTTTCCCCTCTCTCTATCCATGTGGGAAAAGACAGAAAATCCCAGTAATATGAAAAGAAACAATTCATACAGGAAGATACGCAGGTTCGGTCATCAAATTGAAGGACTGACATTATTGTAAAGACAATAAGAATACAAACATTAGAAGGTCTGCTGGAGATAAAGGACTTTCCACCTCGTGATCTGGACTTCTGATATTCAGAATTTTGTTCACCTGTTCTATACATTTTTCCCAGCCAAAATAGATGTGTTAAACTCTCTTTCTTATGCCTGTCTTAATTGTGGTTGAGAGTTTTTTTTTCTCGATTCATTCACGGGATGAGGGCATTGCTGGCCGGGGCAGCATTCATTGCCCCATCCCTAATTGCCCAGAGGGGAGTTCAGAGTCAACCCCACATTGCTGTGGGTCTGGAGTCACATGTAGGCCAGACCAGGTAAGGATGGCAATTTCCTTCCCTAAGGACATTAGTGAACCAAATGGGATGCTCCCCCCCACCAACAATCAGCAATGGATTCATAGTCATGAATAGACTTAATTCCAGATTTTTTTTTAATTGAATTCAAATTCCACCATCTGCAGTGGCAGGATTCGACCAGGGTCCCCAGAACATTACCTGAGTATCTGGATTAATAGCCTACTGATAATACCACTACGCAGGGTGAGTGTGTGTGAGTGAGTGAGTGAGTGAGTATGTGTGTGTTTGTGTGTATAACAGTGGGTGTGTATGAGTGAGTGAGTGTGTGTGTGTGTGTGTCGGTGTGAGCGTCTGTGGTGAGCATGTGAGTGAGTGTGTGTGTGTGTGTGCATATGAGTGAGAGTGAGTGAGTGTGTGAGTATGTGTCAGTGAGTGAGTGAGTGTGTGTGTGTGTTTGTGGATACAAGAGGGTGTGTGTGTGAGAGAGTGTGAGTGAGTGTATTAGTGTAAGTATTTGTGAGTGAGTGTGTGGTATCTGAGTGAGTGCATGTGTGTGTGTATATGTGTGTGTCTGTGCGCATCTGTGTATGTGTGTGTGCAACTGTGTGTCTGTGTTTATGTTTATGTGTTTATGTATGTGTGTGTATTTATGTGTGTGTGTGTGTGTATCTATGTGTGTGTGTGTATCTCTGTGTGTGTGCATGTATCCATGTGAGTGTGTGTGTGTGTGCATGTGTATCTCTCTGTGTGTGTGCATGTATCCGTGTGTGTGTGTGTGTGTGTGCGTGTGTGTGAGAGAGAGAGAGAGTGTGTGTGTGTGTGTGTGTGTGTGTGTGTGTGTGCGCGCGCATGCATACGTACGTGCATAATTGGGGTTTGAAGGAGTATAGTTTAAGTTACGTAAATTAAAGACCTTTTCTTTCACTGTTCGTGTTAACATTCACAAGTGTTACAGTAGAGGTATTTTTACTGCTCCGAAAGACACCTGATATAGTTTGTCTTTTGTCCTGGATTGCAGTCAGTCAGGCAAAAATTGGGTTTTCAAGGTTTCACGATAAGTTTTACACAAGTGTATGACAACTTGTGTAACAGTGGGGCATGATTACACCTGTACCCTTTCCCGTTAGGTTGTGACATCTGTAAAGCCTTCCACAAACATTCCACGTGCGGAGAAATTCAATTCAAAATCCCACATCAGAGCCAAAGAGCAACCTCCTGTACCTGTCAAACAGTGAAAGAAAAGGCTTTGATGGTAGATTTGTGTGAAATCGGTCGCGCTGCACTAATTCAGTCACGGAAAGGCTCAGGCTGATGTCAACAGACGGATTGAATCAGAAAGCAAATTTTTTTTCTTTAACTTTTCTGGAATTGTCTGCAACGAGTGAAAGGAAGTGGAGTTTTAAATGCCTTGACAGGTCCCTTTGACAGTCCAAATGCATTCCTGCACTCAGGTGGGTCTATTTAAATGTCCCACGTCACACCGCACTTCTCCCACACAGTGCCTTGCTAAAGGAAGGCTC